GCTACACCCGTGGCTTTCCTGGTTCTCCAGCTTGCAGATGGCATACCTGGGGACTTAGCCTCCATCCTCACACCAGGCAAGCCCCATAATAAATCTCGTATACATCCTACTGGCTCTGCTTCTCTGGAGAACCTTGAAGAATACATCATATATCTGATAAAGGACTTGCACCCAGAATATATAAAGAAAGTAAACTTAATAATAAGATGACAAAGAATGCAGTAAAATTATGAGCAAAAGATTTGAATGAATAGGCACTTCACCAAATAACATACAAGAGTGGCTAATAAGCACGGAAAAAGATGTTCCGACATCATCAGTCACCAGGGAAATGCTAATGAAAGCCAAAATGCAGTATTACTCTACACCCACAAGAAAAGCTAGAATCTAGAATACTGACAATACGAACTACTGACAAGAAATGGGGGAGAAACGAGAACCCTTACACGGTGCTGGTGGGAATCTAAAATGGTATAGCCATTTTGGAAAACAGTTTGGCAGTTCCTTAAATAGTTCAATGCAGGGTTGGCATATGACCCAGCAATTCCACTCCTGGGTACCTATCCAAGAGAAAGGAAGTGTATTTCCACTTAAGGACTTGCATGAAAATGTCCATTGCAGCATTACTTATAATAGCCCTAAGGTGGCAGCAACCAAAGTGTCCATCAGCAGATGAATGGATAAACAAAATGTGGTCAATCCACACAACAGAGTATCTTTCAGCCTTAAAAAGGAAGAAAGCACTGGTCATGTTACAACTGGATGAACCTTGAAAACAACATGCTCAGTGAAAGAAGCCAGTCAAAAGAGGCCACGTATTAACATGATTCTATTCCTATGAAATGTCCAAAAAGTAAAATCTATAGACACATAAAGTCCATCTGGGGCTGGAGCTGGGACCAGAAAGTGACAGCAAATGGCCATAAGGCTTCTTTCTGGGGTGACAGAAATGTGCTAAAATCCGTCAGTGGTGACATACACTGTCATGCTATGCTCATGCTGCACAGCTCCACCGATTTAAAAAAGTCATCAAATTATTCACTTAAGAAGTGTAGAGACGTAAAGTAGTTCAGGAGTTTCCTGGTCTTGGGTGGGGGCAGGGACTGACTGCAAAAGGCCTGAGGGAACTTTTCGTGGTGACGCAGGAGTTCTTTACCTGGACTGTGGTGACAGCCGCACACGAAGTTCTTCCACGTGCTTCCCACCTTCCCTCCCCCTGTCCTTCCCCACCTCTAGTGACCACCATTCTACTCTCTATTTCTACAGGATCAACTTTTTGGCTTCCACGTGAGTGAGAATAAGCGGTGTTCATCTTTGTGTGCCTGGCTTTCTTCCCTTAATGCAATAGACTCGATTTTATCATAATTTGGATGATTCCCCTACATCAAATGAAATGACGTTATTTTCCCTTTTTCTCCAGTCACAGGAAACCTCTGTCCATGTGCCCAAGCTAGTGCAATGTCCCCCCTCCCCCGTTCTCTCCGTAACTACCCATAGAGACCCCACCTCTTCAAATCAGATTCCGTCACCCTTATCAAGCCTTCCTTTGCTTGGCATGTGGGTGAGCAATGCCACTCTTCTGAAACCCACGGCATTTTGCTTTTACCCCTGTTGTGGGATTTAATCCATTCCGCACAGTTCTCTCATGAATGAGACACACCTGGGCGTGTGTAAAACCTCCTTGGTACCACCCACATTCCCTGTAGAGCCACAACTGGTCACTCACACCCGGTAGGTGCCCAACAAATTCGGTTTGGTGCACGACTGAATGAACATATAAATGTCAGGTTACATTACGACTTAACCCTCGTGTATTTTTTAAAAGTAATGTGAGGCCAAACTGATCGCTAAAGAATTTCCCAGTCCCCCGTGAGACTCTAACACAGCGTTGTATCAAAAGAGTTACGGAAAAAAATGACATTAACTCCCCCCTGTCTTAAAAAGCCACGTCAATCTAGGATGGAAAAATCATCTAAACTGATAGTGCTACAACCACACGGGGGCAGCCAGTGTTAAAATAGTGGGCTAAGTATTCAACGTGCATAATCTCATTGGTTCTTGCACACGCTGCCCTTGACAACACCAGGACCGAGAGATGTTCCACAGTTTGCCTGTTTGCCAAGGTTGGAATGTTTTTGAATGGCAGCCCAGGGTCCCAGCCAAACTAGAAACCTTTACCAACACTGCGCCTTACCGAAGCTGCCTGGATAGGGGTACAACTGGTCCTCACTTAAGAGAGCTCTATGCCATATTTCAACGCTCATGAACTACTGACTGCAGACTGCACGAGCAGGAGGGGAGGGCGGTCCCTTTCCTCCGTGCACTGGTAGGAAAACAAGCACTAGTACTCCAAACTCCCGTGCTTATGCCTTTATAAGAGAACAGGTAGTACCGTCAATGAGTAAATGCCAAACTGCATTTTTAAACCAGCTTGTCAGGACAAGTTCAGGGACTTCTCAGCAGACCACTGCTCTTGCAACAGAGCTCACCACTAGGTGGCAGGAGTATAACGTGCTTTATAAATGAAAGTAGCATGACATTTCCCCTGCTCTTCTTCACAGCGACACACAATCTTGTTAAACTGCTTACGGTTTTTCAAAAATTATTTTGCCATTTGAGTGTTGTATGTTATCAATTATTCCAAATAAAAATTATTCTCCCTTATTGACACTATAATATTTAACACCATAATATACACTGATTTCAACATTTTCACATTCAACAATAAACACACTTTAAATTTGCTTTAAACATAAGTGGAACTATCCCATCAACAAGCTAAATAAAAACATGCTATATTAAAACACAGTCATGATGGAAATTTAATTTTGTAATGCAAAATATATAAAGTATGTGTAAAGAGGCTACATTAAAGCATATATTAATATAAATGTATACATAAAGAGGCAAAATACAAATAGTCAAAAACTTTTTAACTCATGAAGGCTGAATTCTTGCATTTTGAAAAGTGACTTTTTTGTTTGTTTCCTTTAATTTGTAATCTGTTTCTCAACGTCAAAATAAAAGAGAAGGTTTCAGGTTATACTTCACAAGAACTCTGCAAGTAACATTGAAGGTTGCCAATATATAAAATGCAAATTGGGTAAAACCATCACTATATTTTCTCTTTTTCACATATACATTAAAAGTACAAGAGGAAGTTTGATGTGCTACATAAGAATTTTGAGGAAATAAATGCAAGTTAAAGTGATGAACATCTGAAGGCAAATTTGTAGAATTATCAACATGTATGCACCTTTAATTAACTGAATGTCAATATAATGTTTCTTCTGTTTTCTATCTTTGGTGATCCTTTGTGGGTAGAAATTAAATTATATATAACTAAGAATAGCAAATATACATATAAAACCATAAAATGATCAAAAATCACCCTGGCAAGTAACTGATTAAGTTAGGCAGTAACTCTTGCACGTATTTACTTAATAGGCACTCAGGAATAAAATATTTTAACGATTTTTTTTCTTTTACTAATTTTCTTAAGCAGAAAATAAAATTCCACCTTTAACACAAAGAACCCACTAGACTTACACAAAGCCCTATTTTTAGGGCAGGAGGTTTCCAAACCACCAGTGGGGCATGCCAGGGTGTTTAGTGGAAGGAATGTTACACTTCATCTCACCCAGGAATCAGCGAAGGTTCTGGCCAATTATGCAAACCAGAGTTGGCAAAACTGGAAATCCTTCCCAAGGCTGGCAACTAGGCCTGTGTCCTTACAACCATTGTACAGGCTTTTTTCAAAATATGCAAATGAGTAAATGGTCATCAATATTCAAGACCTCTGAAAGACAGACTGGCCCGAACTCTCCACACAAACCTGAAGTCACAAAGAGTAAGGCAGCCTCACTTCTCTGGCTGCCCAGGGACCTTCGGCAGCAGGGATCCTTGAGGCTGATCTGGACCCCCTTAAGTATTCTGCGACAGTTCTACTTTCTAGAAAGGTCCTACCATCTAGGTCTCTCTGTGTAGCAAAGGTCAAAAATGGAAAATCTTAGAGGCTATCCTGCCTCTTGAGTTTGCAAACCTTGCCATGCAATCATGCATCTGCAGTCTTTCAGAAAAAGGTGAGGTCCTCTCTAGGGATTGGTGCTAGGGGGATATTTTCTATGGCAAATACCAATTTATACCTGCAAAATAATCTAGAAATGTATGCAAAAAATAATTTGCAATATATACACATGGATGCATTTCCCCATCTTTCAGCTATGTAAGGTAATATTACTGAGCGCATTTATAAAGTGAAAATTGTACAATAAAAAGCTGCCTGGATGTTTGACAGGATATGAAAAGAACATTGCTCTTGTAGCCTTGACAGTTATTAGCTGATTCAATTCATGAGATGCTTATGAGCTACTCTAAAAATAAGTACAATAACCATCATAAAAATCTCAAGCATCCTTCAGAGGTTGACAGGTACCAAACTTCACATTCCTAATTCATTCCTAGGAAACAAAACAGACTTAATACATGTAACCATCTCTTAACACAAAGGATTTCACTTTTATGTACTCTGCTGGAAAGGATACAGAAATAGCTTAAAGTATAAAGAAGCAAGATACTGGTAATAAAAACTTTCAAAAACGAAAAACTCAAGAGCACCTAAATGCTGTATGGAGTGGAAGAGAGGGCTCTGTCAACTTTTTCGTCCCCCAGAATCTAGCCCGAAGCAGGTGCTCAATCAGCATCTGTTGAATGAATGGTGCCCTAAATGCCATCCATCTAAGGGAATTTCACACATTAGCAATTTGTTTCAAAAGAGGTCGAGATTACTCTGAACTTGGTAAACAGTGACTTGAGACTCCCATTCCCACTAATAATTGTGACAGCAACATGATCAGCACGGAGCCGCTGGCCTCGACAGGTGCAGGACCAAGGGCAACACCTGTGCGGTATGGACACGTCCCGGTGAGATAAGAGCCTCACTGCGCAAGTTCCCCCCGCGCAGAGGGTCGCCTATGGGAAGACCCCACCTCGGCCCTTACCTCCTCCTTCTTTTCCTCTGGACTGGCCGCCTGGCCGAGGCTGGGCTGAGGGTCCCCGCTGCCCCCATCGCCACACGTGGTTTGCACAGAGCGCTGGGGGGACGCGGGCGCTGGCTCTCTCTGAGCGGGGTCCTCTGCCCTTTCTCCACTCTCCACTGAGCTGAGGGACAGTGCGCTCTGGTGGTTGGGACACGTGGCACTCCCTGCCCCGGGGCTCTTAGGGCTCTGGGGCTTGGGCGCGGTGGGCCTCAGAGGCGTGGGAGGCTGCTCCAGGTCAAATGTAAACCGGCTGCCTGCGTTGGGCTCATCCGAGTCTTTGCTGGACGCTTCCTGGGCGAGCGAACTAGATGAGGAGCTGGTGGCACAAGGACTGTCACTTACTGATCCCCGGGCGCTTTTGGCTTCAAGAGGAAACACGGCCGTGTCGACGTCCACGCGGGGACACTGGGGAGTGGCCGGGCGGGAGCCCGGGGCGGCGGGGCCGGGCGCAGGTGGCGTGCCCCGCCGGGGGTCCCGCTCGGTGCTGCCGGACGCGCGGCGCGAGTAGTCGTCGTGCAGCCGGCTGTGCAGCCGCAGCCGCAGGGCGGCCTCGCCGGGGGCCGGCGCCCCGCTCTTGGGGCTCTCCCTCTTCCAGGCGGCGTCTGTCACGTTGCTGACCAGTCTCAGGACCCTGTCGAAGTCCCTGGCCCTGATCGGGCTCTTCCAGCGCTTGGTCCTCCTGTCGGCCGCGCCGAGCCTCTCGGAGTCGGCGGAGGAGCTGCTCAGGGTCCGCTGGGGCGGCGGCGGCTTTTCGTGCGCCCCTCTGAGGTCGGCGAGGTTGGAGGTGGACTTCCGCTTGAAGGAGCTCTTCTTCAGAAAGTTCAGGTTGTCGGTGCTCTTGCTCTTCCTGCGGATGCCGCCGTCGGGGCCCCGGGCCGGGACCGGGCGCGGGGCGGGCTCCGGCGCGAGCGCGGACAGGGGCCGGGCCGGGGGCGCGTCGGCGGCGGGGGCGTCGCGCAGGCTGAGCCGGCCCAGCGCGTAGGCCCTGCGGAGGCTGCGCGAGCGGTGCGTGCTCCGCTGGAAGGCGTCGTCGCCGTCCTCGGGGTCCGAGCAGTCGGACGCGCCCGCGTCCCCCGGCCCGGGGCCGTCGCCGGCCCGGACGCCCACGACGGCGCCGTTGCAGGCGGGTCTCCCGGGGTCACGCTCCGGAGCATCCGCCTTGGAGGCCTCCGACCCCTCTCGGCTCTGAATTCCCTGCAGGACTGAGGACCTCAGTTTTTTGAAGGATCCCATTTTCCGGAAGGAGGCGAGCGCGTTCCAGGTGGAGGACCTCCCCACCAGCACCACGGAGCGCGGCCTCTCGCCCGTCCTCTTGCGGCTCGCCGAGAAGAGGCGCACGAGCTTGGAGGGGCTCCCTCGGGCTTCCTGGGTGTCCGCGTCGCCGCCGCGGCAGCCTCCGTTCTGCCACGCGGGGGACGTCACCATCTTGGCGTCTTTGGCCACTTCGGACACTGTGCAGATGGGTGCGGCACCTGGCCCGTGGCCGTTCTGCGCTGTTGTCATGTTCCTAGGCCGGGGCGCCGGGGGCCACAGGGCGGCCTGGTTCACGGCCACACGCACGGCGGCGTCCACCGGCCCCGGCTGCAGACCTGCATCTCCCGCGCGGCCGCCAGCCTGGCCTTGCCACCCGCTGCGCCCATCCGGCTCCTCCGCGGAGGCCACTGCCTGCAACAGAAAACGCACAGGCGTTAGCCATTTGCCCTCCACCGGAGCCTCTGTACACGGGCCAATTATTTTAACAATTGCTAATAGAAAAAAGGCATGTCCCATGACAGGGCTGATTAAATAAAAACCACTTAAATTAAAATGTTACTTCTTTTCCTCAATTCATTTAATAATAAACTGAAGGGAAGAATGCAAATATATATCGCTAAAAAAAGACAGTGATGGGTTTTGCATTCAGTATGATGGGAAACTCTTGAATTCATTGAAACCTGTTAAGGAAAACTTGCAAAACTGGGGGAATGAAAATATCAAGGCATTATTCAAGACTGTGTCTTCTCGTCATTAGAAATAAAAAGAAAAACATATGGAACACCAAAAGGAAACTGCACAACTCTTTCAAAAAGTGTCACATTGAAATGCCAGCCCAGCCGGGTGCAGTGGCTCACGACTGTAATCCTAGCACTCTAGGAGGCCTAAGTGGGCAGATCGCCGGAGGTCAGGAGTTCGAAACCAGCCTGGGCAGCATAGCAAGACACCATCTCTAGAAAAAATTTGAAAATTAGCTGGGCATGGTGGTGCATGCCTGTAGTCCCAGTCACTGGGGAGGCTGAGGCAGCAGGATTGCTTGAGCCCAGGAATTGGAGGTTGCTGTGAGCTAGGCTGACACCACGACACTCACTCTAGCCTGGGCAACAAAGTGAGACTCTGTCTCCAAAAAAAAAAAAAAAAAAAATGCCAGCCCGTGTTAAATCTAAAACAGCTACCACGCAACCCGAGTGCTCAGCACACACAGGCACTAGTGGGAGGGGGTGAGACGAGACCAAGGTGCTCTCAGCTGCTTACTGCTGCAATATGGCTACAAAATTTGGAAAGTCACACAGTGCAACAGGGACACAAGGGTGAGAGGGACTAATCCAAGGAAGCATGAGGACAAGCTTTGTGAAGGAAATGGCATCAGCAAGGGGCTTTTTCAGTAGATCCTAACAGGCCAGGGAATGGAGAGATAAGAGGATGCTGCTGATGGACGAGTAATTTATTTATTTATTTATTTATTTTTGAGACAGAGTCTCACTCTGTCACCCCAGGTAGAATGTAGTGGCATCATCAGAGCTCACTGTAACCTCAAACTCCTGGGCTCAAGTGGTCCTCCTGCCTCAGCCTCCCATATAGCTGGGACTAATTTTTCTATTGTTTTATAGAGATGGGGTCTTGCCCTTGCTCAGGGTGGTCTCGAATTCCTGGCCTCAAGCGATCCTCCCACCTTGGCCTCTCAGAGTGCTAGGATCATAGGTGTGAGCCACCACTTGGCTGCAGAATTTAAATTAAACAAATACTGCACCTTCTTCCCTCCTCCTACATGACCTGACAACCAGACACACCTGAGTCACATGGATTGAATACCTTTGTCCATGCCCTTCCCTGACACCCACCCAAGTCCATGCTCTCCCTCCCAAACACCTGTGTTCATGGCGTTCCCCCATATACCTGTGTCCTTACCCTTCCCCCATACACCTGTGTCCATGCCCTTCCCCCATACACCTGTGTCCATGCCCTTCCCCTATACACCTGTGTCCATGCCCTTCCCCTATACACTTGTGTCCATGCTCTTCCCTGACACCCACCTGAGTCCATGCCCTTCCCCCAATACACCTGTGTCCATGCCCTTCCCCCATACACCTGTGTCCATGCCCTTCCCCCATACACCTGTGTCCATGCCCTTCTCTCATCCTCATCCCACACCATGCCCTTCTCTGGAAAAGTGAAAAAGGCTGCTCTTCTTAACCCTTCCCATCAGGCCAAGATGTGCTCAGCCTTAAAGTGCTAGCTTAAATGTCATGGCCTCCCGTTCTCAATAAACAGTTATTGAATGAATAAATGAATGAATGAGAGACTATGATAACCATAAAATACTACCAGTTTTTAAGTGCCTACTATACATGTGTCAGGGCCCACATTAAGGTCTTTGAAAACATCATGCCACTGAGTACTCACGAAAACCTACGAGGTCAACAGAATGATTTTCATTTTACAGACAACCAGATGGACGCTTGGGCAGGTTAGGTCATTTCCCTGGGGTCCTGCAGCTGTCCCCTCCAAACCCATGCTCTTCTCCAATGCATTAAACTAATAGACAGAGAGAGGCACAGCTGGGACTGCACCCCAGGCATCAGACTCCAGTTCCAGGGCCTCATGACCTTGACTGCAATCAAATCCCAGCAGTCCTTAGACGCCAGTCAAGGCCATTACTTTCAAGGCAATATCAAAAGGCAGGAGAGGAGGAGGAGGGCGACGTTGTTAAAAGACCTTGAAGTTAGATCCCAGTTTAGCTTACCCTTCTCAAGTGCAGAATTTGACCTCATGCAAAGAGAAATAAGTATGTCTCATCTGCCGCTATGCCCCACGTTCTGGATGGGCTCACTTTTTATGTGCCCTGACATCATGTCCATTGAGGAGGGATTCCCAGGGACAGACATCCTTGAAGGGTTAAAGGGTTGGTTCCACGTGAGACAAGGGGGGCTACACTGACTTAGGCCATCAGCAGCTCCCTTAGTCAGAAGACGGATGGGCTAGAGCACGACCTCTGCAGTTTAATGTTCCAGTGGAGAAATTAGGGGCCCGAGGGGCCGCGAATCGCATTTGAATGGGCCACAGAAGCAGAGGCTTGGATTATCTCTGCACTGAGACTGGACGTGAAGCCCGTAACCAGTTCCGAAATAAATCCGACAGACATCTGGCATCACCTGTCTACCCTCACCTATTCTGGAAGGTAGGGAATTTTGTTGTTTCTGTACCTCAGAATCCTGAAACGAAATGGACAGCTGAATCCAACAGTCGAGTCCAGTCCACTGATTGCATACTGAGAGCCAGTGGTGGTCTGACGATGATGACTTGCTCTGGACACAGAAGACAAGGCACGATCCCCCACCTTGTAATTCAGCTGACCAGGGCAGCTCATTGACACCACAACTAGAGGGCACCATGAGACCTTTTATAACTGAGGAGGACCCGGTGTTAAGTGCTCAAGGGGTGCAGGGAAACACCTGATTTAATGCTGGGTAGTTCGAGAATGTTCTATGGAAGACATGGGAGTAGCCCTAACTGCTCACCCTAGTACTGTCACGTGGATCTTGAGTAAGTCACTTCAGTGGTCTGTGCTTCAGCACCATACATAGAGAAAGAGGCACCAGCATTTATGTCTCCATCCACCACCTAGTTGATTCATGAGCCTTTACTGGGTGCCACAATCTATGCACACCCCAGAATGAACTCAAGGCAGCGATAAGGGAATAGCCCATTCTGTGTTCCTCTTTGCCTCTATTTATTTATTTATTTATTTAGAGACAGAGTCTCGCTTTGTTGCCCAGGCTAGAGTGCCATAGTGTCAGCCTAGCTCACAGCAACCTCAAACTCCTGGGCTCAAGCAATCCTCCTGCCTCAGCCTCTGGAGTAGCTGGGACTACAGGCATGTGCCACCATGCCCGGCTGATTTTTTCTATACGTATTAGTTGGCCAATTAATTTCTTTCTATTTATAGCAGAGACGGGGTCTCGCTCTTGCTCAGGCTGGTTGGGAATGTATTTTTATTTTTTACCTATTTATTTTTTAGGTTACTCTTTTTTTTCCATTTTTGCTCACCACTATACTAATGTGGAAGTAACAGACTAGCATAAGCAAAGGAACAGAGTCATGAACAGGTATAGTATGACTGGGAGGCAGGAATTAGGGTGATCAGCTGCCCAGGCAGACCCAAGAGATGAGGGGTATCTCAGGATGTGGGACTCTCAGGGTTGAAACCTGGAAAGTTCTTAGCAAACTGGGATAGCCGATCACCCAACAGCAAGCAGAACAGTATAGGTGGAAGGATGGCTCAGTGGAATGAGGTAGCAGAGATGAAGGGGAAAGCAGGTTTAGAAAGCCTGCGTACCCCTTAGTCTAACACCTGCTCATTCTTTGTGGCCAACTGCAGGCGCCACTTTCTCTGGGAATTTCTTCACAAGCCCCCCCTGAATGAGTGTGGTCCCTTACTCTGGGTTTCCACAGGCCTCCAGGCATCTCACCAAACCGTTTTACCAAAAAGAATGATAATGATGGTTTTATACGGCTGGCTTCAAACAAGACTGTGTACTCTTTGAACGCTTTACAAACAGATTATTTAAGTTTATTTCTATGTGAAATGATATCAGTTGTCTTCCTTGTCTAATCTGTACCAAGATAACAAGTCATTATATTCCACTATATTTTTCTAGAGTGAAGAGATTCAAATTTTTATAACACTAAAAACTCTTACGTATTTGCTTAAAACTTAAATAAGTCCTAGGATTCAGATTTCATAAAATACATGCTGAAAATCTGAGTTTCTAATTGGGGCAACAAGCTTTTTAAAAGACTAGTGACTATTTTGTTCATGAGCTGAACAATGTGATTGTTGTGTGCTGCTAAGATTGAAACTGAAAATCACAGAAAAAAGCTTTTCCTGGAATTTCTGAGTAACATACCAAGTTGCATTATTTAGAACTAATACTTTGACCTCTATTAACTAACCAAGAGTCCCAATTCAATTAGTGGTTTTGTAGGAAGTCTTATAAATTGTGGGAACTCTGCCAGAGATATTTATGAACAGAACTACAAGAAAGAATTATAGATGGGAATACTTGTGAAATCCATTGTCGACAATCTGGATTCTGGGATCTATGAACTTTAGAACAGAACATTTCCTTACTTGTAGTGAGAATTCTCTAAAAACAACTCTGGTAATTTTTAAGTAAGAATTTGAATTTGAAACTGAGGAATCTGTACCAGATTAAATGTACAAATGAGCAAGGTTTTTGTAATGTGAATTACAGAAAATATGACAGTAGAAGAAAATAAAATCTGAAATGCCAAAAGAGCAAAAGTGTGGATCCCTGAATCACAGCACTAGAGAACACCGCCTTAGGGGGCAACATCCCTCGCCTCATTGTGAAGTTGGGACAATGGTGCCCAGCGAGGCTGAGTGCTTT